AAAAGTATAGCATTGTCATGCACTGTCAGATAACTTGAAAAGACAGTTTATTAGACAGTATTAAAAAGGATAATAAGAAAAAAGGATAAATGTTCTTTGGATAGGAGAAAAGTTCCGGTGCATTCATTATATGAATGCACCATTAAAAAGTAACCTGATATATTTGCAAATAAATAGTATTTATAAAGCACTGTATAGTCTTTCAGGCATTATAAAAATTAAAAAACAAGAAATAACTACAAAGAAGTGGAGTATACTTAATCCCCATTTTTCTATAAAAATGGGAATTAAATAAATTTCAAATAAATTAAATTGTCATTAAAGGACTTAATGAATTGTTATCATAATGCCAAAAATAAGAATTTCACATAAAAATCAATAATTGGGCTGCAATTTGATTATTGTAGACCTATAACTATGACGGATGACAGTGGGTATAAATACCCACTGTCATCCGTCCGTCTGTCTTTCCTTAATCATGAGAATGGAGATAGGTAGATGAAAGCAGAGACCAGATATGGAAAGCTTAGGAGCAGGAGGCCCCAACTAATATGAACGATTAATATGAACTCTATATGAACTTCTGATGCAAACTGGCAATCATTTTATTTCAATTCAAAAATTCTTTCCTGAAAGGTGTTAGATACATGACTGGCACAACTCCATTGTTAGAGGAAAAGTATAATGTACAGGGGCAAGTCACTACTAATTTGAGATGGAGAGAATATATTTTAAATTAAATAAATTAAAAATATGACTAAAATTGCAGCCCGGCATTGTGACAATGTCACAATAAATAATTGCTCGTTTTAGTTTAAAAACATTTTATACTCTTTAAATAATCATGAAAAAAGAGAATGTTTTATTCCATCAACATAATATCTAAATAAGCAGAGAAAAGAATAGAGGAGCATAATATGAGAGAAATTTAAAATAAACTGAAAAATTTTGCTTCCTTCAATATGTTTTGTTACATTAATGCTAAAGATGAACAATAATGTTTAGTAAAGCTGTTTGTTCATATGATTTTATCTATTCAAATAAAGAAAAGTATAAAGAAAAATTTTTTGAGAACTTAATATTCTAAAAAAAATTGATCCAGAATTGTAGAATCCAAAGTTTCATTAATTAAATGAATTACTAAAAGTTTGAAATTTATAAAATTATATATTTCAAAAATAGTAATCATATTAATCTCATTGGAATATATATTAAGAATGTTAATTATTATATTTAAAAAATAAAACAAATGATTAGTAGTAATTTTTTTTATTTTAAGAAAATAAAAACAGAATATTAATCTGTTACTCACATTATTGAATAAAAAATTACAATTAACACAGAAAATATAACTCCAACAAATAAACCATAATCAACATCAATAAGAATCACAGAGAAAAATGTCACTAGCCAGATCATCTGAAAAATATTTAATGATAATATCATTCTTGCTAACATAAACAAAACTGTTATATACATAATAAACATCCTATCATCCCATTTACAATATAATTGTCATATAAAATAAATAAATGTTACATAAATTAGACAAAANTATTTTTCTTCGTTGGTATTGTTTAAAAGTGAATTGATTTAAGGTAAAAAAAATGTTTTGGTACAAATATCAGATATGTACTAATTTTGAATGAACATGCTATTATGCATGATTAGTGGTTATAAAAGTTTGGTTTTATTTGATACAAAATTGTAAAACTTAAACAAAAAGAAAATAATAATAATATTTACGTGTGTAAAACTAATCGCATATATTCGGTATTTAATATATGTGTATACACCACACAATTTTAGAATATTTTCTCATAAGAGTAAACGAGAGTAACGCTCTCATATCCAGAAAAAGTTAAATTTCAGGTAAATTTTATAAGTATTTGTTTCTAAAATAATGTATGCGAGATTGTATTTTGTAGAAATAATAGAGGATAAGGTGGTATTATGAAACCCCACTTACATTATAGTGAATTGTAAACAAGGTATCATTACACCCACATTTTTTGTGCGATAAGTACTGGTAACTTATTAAACTAAATGTTCCTAATTGGATTTTTCGCTAGTGTAATTATAAGTATGGTTTTTGAAGGCTTTTGTACAAAAAGTCAGAAAGTAGTCTTAGAGAAAACCGGGTGGTAATATGGAACCTTACTGTATGTTTTCAAAAAATGCTTTAATGTATCCAAAAACGAATAGGAAAGTACAAAGAATGTTAAATAATTACAAAATTATATACTCCAATGTATTTTATCGAAAAAATGCTTTTATAATAGAAAAATATGACCTCCATCAACAATATATATTCCAGCAGCTCTTTTTCGATATTCTCAAAGAATTGGCTTTCTATCTAGTGTCTTTTTCACAAATTGCTCCGGGCGAATGTCTGCTTGCAAAAAAAGAGATCGGAGGAGTTGGGTTCCATATTAAAAGCACCAATGGGGTCCGTATTTCACGCATCGCCATCTTGAATTAACTTATGTCTGTCAAGACCAAAATTTAAAAAACGTGAAAATCACACAGATTAATATGTACCCCCAAGTCTCTGGAACGGAATACATGCACCAGTGAACCTACAACTACACGATTTATATTTTAGAAATAATTAAATTCACTTAGCATTCAAAACTTTCGAATTTCGAAAAACACAAATATGCTGATTCACTGCGGACAACCGTTTAATTGAAGTGAAACGGGTTTTCCCCCTTGCTATGGATGTCTGCCTAGTGCAGTTCAGCCATAATCCGCTACAGTTAGCCTTTATCAGTTTGAAATGGGGGGTTCCATAATACCATCTTTTCCTCTACATTTTCTTTATTTCAGAGTGAGTAGCTTAATTCAAGTGGAGTTCAAACTTTAAACACACAAAAAGAAGTAAAAGTAATTAAAACAAAGACTAATCAATATGAGATACACTGTTTTTCGTTCATTTATTTTTTGATTAATTAGAAAATTTTAAACAATAAAACGTAATAGTAACAAAAATAAAATTATAATTTAAAATTCCATTTTGAATTACTTCTATTTAATTATAACTTACTTAGAACTTAAGGCTTAGATTTCCAGGAAAGAACTTGAATGATATAAGTAGATACAGTTTCAATTAAAAATGGCTGACGATATTTACATAATATAATACATAGAAGAACATACATAATATACACGGGGGTACAAAAGTAGGTATACAGTAAATTCAATAATTAGAACTAATGGGATCGGTATATTTCAATAATCACTAAAAATAAATATTTTCAGTTAGAGTATATTTTTTTTATTTGTTTTTATCTACTTCCGACTTCGAGGATCACAATCTACAGGTCAAAACCGGCAAATAAGCGACAAGAAATAAATTAAACTTTTATCATTACCATTGACTTTATTATATAATTGACACTCCTCAGTTGTATCCACTGAGGAGGCCTACTGAAAAAGGTGAAATGCATTTGGAATATTAAGAATAATAATTTAAATACATTTTAAAAATGTTTTTATTGGTATGTAGGAATGCTCACCCCTACCATATACATGCATTTACACACTTAACCACGTGTAGGATTTAATTATGGTGTGTATGTTTATCAGATTTCGGGAGGAGGAGGATGGTGGGTCACCCCTAAAACATCATTAAAATGCATCGTCATCGTACCTAGGTATGTCCTCAGTCGGAAGTAGATAAAAAGTAGTCGAAAGTAGATAGAGTATATTTTTTACTTGTTTCTAACTGAAAATATTTATTTATAGTGATTATAGGTATACAGTTGTTATTATGGGGGAAAAACATACAGGGAGACAATAGGAAAAAGAAAAATTTATTTTTATATACAAATTAAATCAGAAATAAGGAATACGAACAAATAAAAGATAATAATGAACACCAAACATTTGTAATTCTCAGATTCTCAACTGTATACCTGCTTTTGCACCTCCCCCTGTATATGTACAAAACTGCATTTTTAATTATTGACTTGTCACCAATGAATTTTTTAAAATTTACTGGTGACAAGCAATAATTTAAAAAACCTCTAAAAACATGAAAAACCAGTTTAAAACTGTTTTTTCATATTTTTACAGAGGCGTAGCCTCAAATAAAAAGTCGTCTCTGCAATTGAAGACTGTCGTTTCTGGTGATTGAACACGACCAAAAGACATTTTAGTTTCATCAATGTATTTTATTATTAATAAGAAAATAATTTTGAAAAATTTATTAAAAATTAAAAATGCTAATCGTGTATTTAAAATCATATCGTTACACCATTTATTTTATATTTTCTGTTAGTTGTACTTAAAGTCTACGTGACATACTGAATTTTGGGGAGTAACGAAGGGCATTCCCACCCAGAACTCTAGGTTATAGGCGAAAAAAGTACATTTTAAATTCAATATGTTAGACTATTGTAATTTAAAATCATTAATTAGAAGTATTTATAATTTTAATAAAAACAAACAAAAAAAAAATTAAACATTGTCCCTATGAAAAAATATAAGTAATGCTGTAGTTACAAAAGCGTTTAAAATTTAATTTAAATTTCTGTCCTCAAATTTCATCTACTTCTAATTACGATAGAAGGCTGAAACTTTGAGGACATATCTAGGTCCGATGACGATGTATTTTAATGATGTTTTAGGGGTGACCCNGTAACATAATTGTTTAAATAAATTGGCATTTATCAATTTAAGAAAAAATTTATAAAATTTGAACAAAAGATTAAGAAATTTATTTTTAAAAAGTAAGACTCTTGAGAAACTGCTGTTACTATATTTGCTAATAAGCTTTCTAATGAAATTATTTTCACTTTATTCTAAATAAAATTTTTACACAATTGATCAGAAGAAAATTGTACAGTAGAAAAATTATAATTGATAAATACCTTTTAGTAAATTTACATTGAATTTTCATGCCAAAATTTAAAACAAATTTCAATGGGTTAGATTTAAAATGTTTTCAATTTAAATAGATAAAAATAATTTCTATATGAATATTTTAATATGTAGATAATACTCACTTTTGGTAAATTGTAAAAATATGGTCCAAGTGCTAATAGCACAACAAGCAAAATCAAACAAGATATAAAAGCAGAAAGCTATAAAAACAAGCAAACATATATGTTTATACTTCTAACTTTATACAAGGTGCACTGCAAAGTCTTAAGTCACCCAAATAACTTTTAAACATAGAGCTATAGAAGTGAGGTATTGGTAGGGTAAAGTTACAAGGAAGAACCTGACTTCATTCTATTTTTAACCATTTATTCTGTTTACTTACATTTATTTTGGGGATTTTATTTTGTTCTGGGTAACTACTTCACATCCATGACTGTAAAGTAACAACAAGCTAAACAGAAAAAAGAATAAGAGAAAAGCAAAAGATATTAAAATGTTCCTCATTGGCTGTAGGACAGAATGCCACAAGTCACATGACAAGAAGAGAATTTCTAGGAGAAGCCATAAGTGGTAGGATAAAGGAGAAAAAGTAAGCAACAACAACAAGCTAAGTAATTTAATATTCAATTATTCCAATAGGTGACTTCTCTAGAGTTTACTGCCAGTAGAGACAGGAATTGTAAAATGAGTTCATGACATAAAATATAAATAAGATAGGCAGGAGCTGTGATGTAATATCAGAAAATGTAAGTAGATGATTATGTGGTGATGACAACTGAGAAGTCTTATGATTGCATTGATAGGAGTGTTTTTGGATTGCAAATTATAGTATTGAATTGTTAGAATTATCTGTTTAACAACTGTTTGATATTTAATCTAAATAACAGATTTTTCTTAATCATTATTTTGTTTTTGTAACTGTGTGTTTTTTTACATTAATTAAATAATACTTTGAATTGGTAGTATATTGAATAGTATTTCTGTACATATCTCTTAGTAGTTAGTACTGTTAATAATTTTTGCATATTAATTGCTAGTAAGAAAGGTCAAGCCTGCCCTTTCAAGGACCATGAAGGTAGAGTTTGGTCCCAAGGGCTTGGGTTTCATAATAGACCAAACTTTACAAAGTGACCTTGTGCTACCAGATGAAACTGACAGTATAATATGCTGGGAGTATAATAAGTGTCATCTGGTGATACTCTAAAACTTTATTTACTTTTTTTTCTGTATCCCTTATATTTTCTAAAATAGGAATGCTAAGTTCCAAATTTTACTGCTGGGAGAACTGCTCAGGTAGCACATAGTTGCTTTACCATACCAATACTTCTCTTCCAAAGATGTACATTCAAAAGTTGTTTGGGTGACTTAGGATTTTTCTGTACACTCTACATAAAATTCTCTTATTGATTATTGATAAAATAGAAAAGTATTGAAAACAACAATTTTTCTTACAAAAACATAGTTACTTAGGACTAATGAACAGGCTTATTATACTCCCAACATATTTAATTAACCTCTCCAAAATGTATTTTGGCCTTATGACCCTTATCAATTGAATAACATACAAAAAACAGTGTCTACAATGACACTTGTCGATATTGTAAATATACCTTAGTGGTAAAATAATTACAAATTATTACACATTACTATTAGGAATTTTAAATTATATCTAGGTCCGTAACAATACAATACTGAATAAATACAGTAAAAAACTTTGGGAATAGTCCTTCTGTCTTCTTTATGGTTATGGTTATTTTCTTTTCTTCTGTCTCCACCCCATTTGTGGGGTATGCTAGCTCAATTTCCAATTTTTGATTTTTGTTCTCATTTGGATTGTTTTTAAACACTTTCCATTACAATTATAAATGTTTATTAAAAATATATATATATATTTTTTTTAATAAACATTTATCTTTTATATATATTTTATAATTATAAATGTTCTTATGCTTGTTTTGGTCTTGATATACAGATTCATAAACAGTTATTTGAATCAGCACTTAGACAACCAATTTATAATTTCTAATAATGTGTAATAATTTGTAATTATTGTATCACTAAGGTATATTTGCAATGCTGGCAATTGTCACCACAGACAGTTTTTTTGTATGTTATCCAATTCATAAGGGCCATAAGGCAAAATGCATTTTGGAGAGGTTAATTAAATATGTTGGAAGTATAATAAGCCTGTTCATTAGTCCTAAGTAACTATGTTTTTGTAATTAAATAATACAGGCAGGAAGCTTTTTAACAATTTTCCTATTTATCTATAAATTCTTTCAATTACTTTCTAAAACAAAACTCACAATTTTTTGATTAACAATATAAACGTCAATTAAAATAAACAATTATTTAAAAGACTAAATAAATAAAGTTCATTTATATCTTAATAGAATATTTTTTAAAAAAATGAAAAGTCATTAAGTGTAGTACAATGTAATAACAATATTCTAACAGATATCTCCAAACTGCCAATATACAGTAGAGCGTTGATTATCCGAATCAATTGGGGACTGGGGTTGTTCGAAAAATCGATATTTTGGATAACCGATTATGTACAAAAAAATATATTAACCTATCCCATGTTGAAATTTTTCTCCGTTGCGTGTCGCTTTGCGTTGAATTTTCATCGATGTTAAGCCTATCGAAGACTATTGCATCGTTAAAAATTATTTTTTTATTTTGTACAAACAAAATAAATATATTGAAAAATATAAAAACAATAAAAAATTATACTTCAGAAGTTAATTTAGTATCAAAAACGTAAAATATTTGAGTAACCCAAGACAGCCAAAGATTGCAGCGCCACAGCACTGGTGAAAATTTAAATTTGCCATCTGGAATTATTTCGGATAATTGACGTTTTGGATAATCGACACTCTACTATAGCTGTAAACAAAATGTACAAAATTTGCAGATAAAATTTATCATCAAAAGAATTATAAACTATTGAACTAATAATAATAATCTTAAAAATTTATAAATTTTTCATGAAAATATTTATTGCTGTCATCTAAATTATATATTTTTTTAAATATAAAATTTTAAAAGTTAATTTTAAATATATACTCAAAAATATTTTATACCTGTGTCTTTCCTCCAGCTCTTTCTTGTACTAAACTCCGTGACATTGATGTTGCACATGGATAACATAAAAAGAATGAAGAAAAAATATTTGCAGAACCTAATGCCAAAAGTTCCTAAGTTAAAAAATTTACAGCATTTTATTATTATTATTGCTTAATTTCATAAATACAATTAACTTCTTAACTAAAAGATTCATAAAAATTATATTTCTACTGTAATTTACAATTTTATATAATTAATTAATCAATCTTATAGTACATAAAATGTTATATATAATTTTATAAATAGTTTAAATATTCCATGGTAAAGTTATACAGAAAAACCCAGGGCTAGTGAAAGATTGGTTCAATGTGTTCCCAGGAACCCAGCCAACTTTAAAAGATCCCATAATCCACAAAGAAGCTTGTCATAAATTCTATAAAATCTTATGCATTTTGCAGTGCCTTATGTGTAATATGTATGATAATTCATGTATAGTAAATTATTCAATTGCAAAATATGTAGTTAAAAAATTAAACTAAGAAGTTATGTAGTTTATCCTAACTATAAGTCAGTGTTTTTCAACCCTTTTCATTGAGTAGCACCCCTGATTGAAAAATAAAAAATCGTGACACCCTTGACCAGATCTAGAATCTGAATAAGGGGAGGGGACTAATGGGGCAGATGAATTTTTTGCAAAATGAATATTATGCGCAATGCTGGGGTGGGGTCTGGGGAGAGAGAGACCTCCCCAGGAAGAAAATTTTTTTAAATTGACAGTTTGAAGTAGCATTTTAATGCAAAAAAAAGCATTTCTACATGTTCAAAATCAAAATTTAAGTCCATTGAATTTTGTCAAAATACCTACATGTAAAATAATAGTCTGTTGTTTTTTAAATCTAGTTTTATTATCAAATATATCATCATTTTATATTATCATTTTATTGATAAACAATTTTTGTTAAGTTTTTTTATACTATTTTGATGCATATATAAAATAAATATTTCATTACTTTTTTCTTATCTTTTTCATATCAATTTAAGAAATTTAAATTAAAAAAATTATAAAAAATTGTTTATTTGTTATCATTGCTTTTGAATACTATGAAAATACTGTAATATGCACCTACTTTGTGATTGAAACCACACGCTTTTCAAAGTACAATGCAATGCTTTTTAAAGAATATACAGGACACAAGTGTCAATGTTGTTGTTCTCTGCTGGTTGGCCTGGTACTGGGACTGGGAATGTGAAGGCCAAACAATATGTTTTGGGCGAACTCGTGACAAGTTGTGTGTACACGTAGCGTAGAACATTACATTAACATGTGATTAGTCATCGTTTCTTTGTCTACTAGATATCTCATAGCAAAATAAAACTGACAATGAGTTAACTTGAACTACACTTAAGTAAATTTCCAAGAAAATGCCTAAAGGCCCTAAACTTTGCGACACCCCAATCGTGGTGCCGTAGCACCCCGGTTGAAAAATACTGCTATAAGTTGTAAGATAGATTGAATATAGCTATGTACTTTCACTTTGTACTTGTAATAAATAATTTAATATATATAAATGCATTTTTTGGGCCTTTACAATTTTGGAATCCAACCCTATAAAACTTTATGCCAGCCCTGGTAAAACCTCTCTAGCTGGCAATCCTGTTATGCCAACCACCTATTTATATAACAAGAATTTTTAAAACAAAATTTTTATTCCATAGGACTCATTGTTTTTAATCCAATCTAAGTCAACTACTACTTTACCTAACCAATTACCACCTAGACTCAACCCTTTATGCAAAATTGGTTACCTCTTCGTAAAAATCCTCTTTGATGTAAAAATCTGTCTGCATCTTTTTTTGAACTTCAATGTGTCTATTTTATATTTTTTGGTGTTATCATGGAGAACATCCATAATTTGCTCTTAATATCATCAATAACAAGTTAGTCTATGCTTTATTTTTGTTTCATTTATTCTTATTAACTAAATAATTTAATCTTTATTAGGAATAGATAAAATGGTAATTGAAAATGGTAATTGATGACAAAATCAAAATTTAGATGGGATTTAGAATGCATTTAATCGGAGTGATTTGTTATTAAAGGAGTTAAAACAAAAAAAGCAAATGTCCTTTACAGATTATTTTAAATCAAACATTTAAGACTGTGTATATATATTATATTTTCATGTATAAAACATACAATAACATTTGATGTGTTAATAATTCCTGCAGTTTGATGCTAATCAATACAATGCAGTTCACTGGCACACTCAAAATTTAATCTTAGGAGAGCTAAGTTAAATAGATAAAAACATTTTAATGTGAATTCAATAAAATTTCTATCTTTGTGAATGTTAATTCATAAGTAATAAAAGACACAACATAGTATAAATAAAACATAAATTTTAATTTAAAAAATTTTTGAAAAATTTACTAATGTTGTTTTCCTTTTACTTTGGGGATGCCAGGGCCCATTGGGCCCCTCTGGATGCACCACTCTAGCAGTTTATAAATAGCATAGCCACAATATATCTGGCTGAAGTTTACTATTGCACTATATAAATTTTTACAAAACTGCATAAAATAATCGGATTTATTAAAAATTATCATCATGGTAAATATATTTTTAATAAAAAGTAAAATACATCTGAATACGAGTCCAATTTTGCTTGCCATGCCTAATCACCAGGAACAACTATTTCCATTGCAGAGACAACCTTTCTTTAGAGGCTAATGCCTCTGCACAAATATATAAAACAGTTTAAAATGTCCACAGGTGACAATCCCAACACAATTAAAAATATAATATTTCTTTGTAGAAAAGGGCTGGCAGAATTACTATTTAATAAAAAATAAAATACATCTGGATTAAAATGTCCACAGGTGACAATCCCAACACAATTAAAAATATAATATTTCTTTGTAGAAAAGGGCTGGCAGAATTACAATTTAATAAAATATAAAATTCATCTGGATACGAGTCCAAGTTTACTTGCCATGTCTAATCACCAGGAACAACTATTTCCATTGCAGAGACAACCTTTCTTTAGAGGCTATGCCTCTGCACGAATATGTAAAACAGTTTAAAATGTCCACAGGTGACAATCCCAACACAATTAAAAATATAATATTTGTTTGTAGAANTAGTAATGGCAAAAGCAACTATTGCTATTGACAAACTATCAATAGCAACCTTGGGAATTAAGTCAGTTCTAGGAACAACTGGAATAGGAAGTCTGAAATAACAAATAGCTTTTAAAAAATATTTTTAAAAATTCATAAATTTTGTAAACGAGAAACTTATATTAAATATAAATAATGAAAAGTAAGATTTAAATTTGTAAAAAATTTTTCTAAAGTAAGTTTTATATTTTCTACTAGCTGGGGTACCCGGCTTTGCTCAGGAAGTTGATATGAGATTGTGTGGTAGTTGGAATAAAAGGATAAACTGTAAAATATAAGAGGTTAAAAAATTTTATTGAAAACATATTCTAACTATTTACAATACTTGTTTATAAATAACATTTTGCTCAAAAACTTTTACAAATAGGCAAAGGCACACCATCCCACTGACCAGATGACCGGCCTCATTGAACTCAACAGTGATTTTTGCAACATAGCCACTACTGAAAACGAACTCATCAACCAAATTTATCCAAACATTGTTCACAACTATACCAATCCAGAGTGGCTATTTCAAAGGGCAATTTTGGCAACTAAAAATATTGTCGACAATATCAATTTTAATATTCAAAAGAAAATTCCTGGTAATATTCAAAAGAAAATTCAGAACTGGCAAGAGCTCCTTCTCTTTTAAGTTTGGGCATTGTATAAAATATAAATCAAATCAACTTTTTATTAACAAATACACTAAGTACACTTTACACAATTTTCACACTTTATTTTCTATTTATATTCAGTCACTGTATCAATTTGACTACTCACACTTCATTGTTTATTTTTATTCACTCACTGCACTACTTTGGAATTTTCACTTCTTTTTTGGTTCTTCCCTTCGTCACTGATAAGAAACTGACGTTCAAACCCACGACGGATCTTGCTTTATATACCCCCACCAATGGGTAGTCCCACCCATACAAAAAAGGCTTTGAATGGTCCATAATGTTCCAGAACATTCCACAACATTTGAAAGTATTCTGGAATGTTCCACAATGATCTGGGATTCAAGAGCATTCCACAACATTCCAGAACATTCTGGAATGTTGTGGAATGCTCTCGAATACTCTTGAATGTTCTGGACTGTTCTAGAAATGTCTAGAGGGCAAAACTTTCAGCCCTTATATCTTCAACTGCACACCCTTCAGGGAAAAACGGGAGCCTTCTTCATGGATGAGGGATAGAGGGCTACTACACCATATAACTCACTTGATTGTACCGGAACACATTTTTAAGTTTTAGCGGTATGCACACTGTACACTTACCTTTATAATATATATTGATTGATGATTGATTACTGTACTTTATATTTGCAAAATTGTTAATAAATGATGAATCTAAATATTTTGAAAACAATTTGTTTTAAGCTATTTACAGCTTAACAATTTGCTAGTTTAACAATTTGTTGTTAAGTTTAATTATAATTAAGATTTTAGCTAATTCTTTCGCAAGTTTAAAATTATAAAATATATAGCATATGATTTTCATTATATATATATAATAAAACTCAGTAGTAAATAAATAATGTCATATTTATTTTATTGGTTAATAAGTTAAAGTATGTAGTACAGGGGTGTCCAACCCGCGGCCCGCATGCGGCCCAAGGCAAGTTCCAATGCGGCCCGATAAAGGTGTAAACAAAACCGACAAATGTTTTAATTTTTTATTATTTATTTCAACGGCATAAACTCAGAAAATAAATTTCAAAAGCCATAAACCTTTATTCATATTTTAGTTTTGAGTGGAAATGAAATATTTTTATGTACTTGGAGATGTGTGAATGAGGAAGGATTACTAAATAAAGCTGAAGTTGTGACTCAAAGGATTATAGACCCAAATTTGGTGAAAGGAGAGAAAAGACGAAAGATAAAAAGTTGTCAGAAAGGTTAAATAGTTCTGTTAGGCAAATATTGAGTCTTAATTTTCCAACCTTTCTCACTTTCGTTATCGTTTAACATATCATTTATAAATATATTAGTTGAATAAAAATGCACTTTAAAATGGTGTTTCGTCGCTTTTTATTAATCAGAGACTCAAATAAACCAAATAAATGAATTTATCTATTTATAAGTAAAAATTAAAAGTGTCTATAGAAGTAATTTTTTAAAATATCCTGTTTTGTGATAAAGTTTTAATACTTATTATTATAATCTAGACATGTTAATCCTTAAATATACTTGTATATTGGGCCACAAGTATATATTATATATACTTGTGGCCCAAAACTCCTTGACTTCTTCCAATGCGGCCCAGAGAAACAAAAAGGTTGGACACCCCTGATGTAGTACATAACAATATACTAGGAAGTATAACAAATCATAAAAGAGAAGTATTCAAGTATTTTTTTGTTTTTTTTAAACTGCAACTATTTTCTGGAAGCTATGTTGCATCACTACTAGCAACCATAAGATTTCACAATGCAATAGCATTATGAAATCATAGTGGCTTATAGTGCAATAGTGGCTTTCAATTTATTTCACAATGCAACAGCACATATCAAAAGGTCTAATAGAGAAAGTCACTATTAGACCTTTTGATATGCTTACAATTTTGGTGTCTGGTGTCTCATCACACAATTGATTTGAATTACTGAAAAATATAATTTTTAAATGTTCTGGTTGAGTATATGTACTTTAGCTTGAGGATGGTAATGCCTCAAACTATATGGAACTTTGGACTATCAAGCTCTACTGTACAGTCGACCCCCCTATAAGATGTAGATCTCAGGAAGTTGATATGAGATTGTGTGGTAGTTGGAATAAAAGGATAAACTTTAAAATGTAAGAGGTAAAATAATTTTATTGAAAACATATTCTAACTATTTACAATACTTGTTTATAAACAACATTTTTCATTTTGTTATCCGGGGTATATATGTACAAATTTTTCGAATTTCCTACTCGATGCAAAGCTATGTATAGTTGACCGTGAGAAAAGCAGGAGTCTTTGAGGTTGATGCCGCAATGTTTTAAAGTGTGTCTTTACACTTTGTTAATTGTAAAACTATAGGCTAATTTGATTGGAAATTTCAGTCTTTTAAATTGGAATGGCAGTTCAGTAGAGATCAGTGGCATTCTGGGGATAAATACTGTGTCCTTTGTCCTTTCCAGTCATACGTTCGGCTTCGACGATGTTATTCGATAGTTGTTTGACGATCATCCTTGTTCCATTACATAGTTTTGGTGATTTCAGATTTTTGAGTAGTATNTATATTATATTATATATATAAATTAGTAATATTAATATAAAAAATATTAATAAATGTATTTATAAACTTGATCTGCATTATAAGTATACAAAACAAATAAATTTCATAAATACATTTATTAATATTTTTTTAATAATTCTAACAAAAAATATATATCTTACCCAGTTGGAATATCACCCATTATTTTTACTTCAAAATTTTCACTAAACTTTCCAAAGTACGATGTTATTGTAGCAATTATAACCTAAAATTATATTAAAAAAGATCTGTTTCTGGTCATAGTAAAATAATTTGTAATAAAATGATACAAGGTATTAAAATAAAATTAATCATTTATTATTTATAAATTTATTTCAAATATATTCAAAAAAATAAAAATATTCTTAAAAACTGCTTAAAAATATAAGAAATAAACAATTATATCAATAAATACACATTTTGAAATATTAAGAAAGTTTATAATTTGTCTATTGTACAATGGGTCATAATTTGATGCTAAGTGCATAAATGGTTAAAAAATTAAGCAAAAAATTTGTAAGATGTTTTTATATCAATATATGAATCTATTAACTAAAAAATCAAAAATATGTACAATAGAAGCCCCAGATTCATGGAAGTTCTACTAAATTGTCATGGTTATGGAAAGAAGAAAAAAGCATTGAAAAAAAATATATGATTAGAAAATAAAAATATTTTCATACAAAGATATAAGACATTATGAAACAATTTTAGTTGTATTAATATTACTATAATTTAATATACAGGTAACCCCTGTAAAACACGGAACTTCTATAGCACGAATTCACTCTAACACGGTTCAAGAATTGCTACCAATCCCGTATAACACGGTACTTTTATAGAACAGATTCACTCTGACACGGTTCGAGAAGTGGGTAAAACCCTCGTACAACATGACATGTAATAAATTTTCACATACTTAAGTACAGTGGGTGATCGGTTAACGAACATAATCCGTTCCAAGACTTTGTTTGCTATCCGAATTGTTCGTTAACCGATTATCGATTTACCATAGGTTTTAATGGGAATTTAATTAATTCGTTCTGGAGACCCCCCAAAAAATATACACTTTCTTACTACGTTTATTTATATGTAGTAATAAAAATACATATGTAGAGTCTTGCGTTTTTATTAGTCATATTTTTTTCATTTGAAAGGGTTAAAGAATCCGTCTAATGCCGATTGCTTTTCTCTCTTCTTCGGGATTTTTAGTAAGTAATTAATAGCATTGCAATTGTAGAAATCCCCAAGCCTCAACCTGGTTTGGATGCCATTCTAAGACCGTTGTTCTGACATCCTCCCACTTCTTCAAAAGATTTTTAATTAATAGCAGATATCGGCATTAATCCTCTTTTTTTCAGAAGAAAACATATCTTGCCGAGTTTCCTGGTGTTCTTCATTCAAGAGATATTGGCGTTCTTCTGTCGTCAGATCCGTTTCGGGATCCATTATGAACTGTTCGATATTCTTTATTTCTCAGATGTGATTTTTGTTACTCTTTTAGCTGCTTGAGTCTTCTTGATTATACAGTATTTTTCTTAAAAAAAAAAATTGAACTGCAGCTTACTGTAGACCTATTCACGCCATTCTGCCCAGCAACATTAGGCATCTTCTGCCCACTCTCTACCTTTGCTATTATACTCTCACCTTTCGAAAACAAAAACAGACGCAAAACTTAACGAGTGCCTACCCGACAGTCTCACGAATACATAAAATAATTGTTTTGTCAGAAAAATAAAAGGCTGGAATTACAAGGGAGAGTTTCAAAGTTCGGAGGAATAATATCCGATCGTATATATCGGCTTGAGCGTCGATGATGTCGACATCCACACTCCGAAAAGTTTCGAATTGTTGCCCGAAGACAAGGGAAGACCAATCGGTATTCATTAATTTACGTCGCTTCTTCTTGTGTTTGTTCTGTGAAGTGTTCGTTATCCGATCATGTGTTCATTGTCCGAACATAAAAATCTTTCGCAAAAGTGTTCATTATCCGATTTGTTCATTAACCAATCACCCACTGTACTAATAGTTCACGAAAATTATTATTTTCATGAACTATAAGTACTTCAGTATGTAAATTTTCTTTTCTCGCCTCCATACACATGGTCCTTTGCGAAAATTGTTTCAATTTTGCCAGATCTCTAAGCTTCTTCTTCTGGTGTTGCCAAATGTTTTTCCCTTATTCTATAAGTGCTTAGCACCATATAAGGAAATTTATAAAGATCTTTTAACTAGAAGCGAGCAATCTAAAATTACATACACTTTTTGCAAAAGGTAAAGCATGAATCTGAAAATAATGCAGAAAAATGCTCAGAGAATAACGATAACTTGCCAAAAATAAAATGCTCTCGATTAATAGTGCTTTTAGTGATGACAAAGAAAACATTGTTTAATTTATATTAATATGTATCACTTAAAAAAATTTTAATAAAGATATTTATCTTAATTATGAAAATATAGTAGCATGTTTTTTAATTTTTGGAACCTAACCCTCCTTTTCGTACTAGTTCTTTGTTTCGCATAACACGGATTCGCATAACACAGCAATTTTTTAGAACATAACTACCATGTTATACGGGAGTTACCTGTATTATTAATTTCATGAAACAATGGTTCTTTGAAATGGAAAAGTATCCATTTATTTTAAACTTTTTTCTAGTGTTTAAAATTCTCTTACATTTTAAAAAGACAAAAATAAAAAACTATTTCTTGTTTTTGTTCACTATTTAAAGTTTCCTATATCTAGGGCAGGCATGGCCAACATACAGCCCACAGGCCAGATCCAGCCCATCTAATGAATTTATGTGGCCCGCAATCAATCTTTCAATATTAGCTACTGAAATCCAAATAGCTCGATGAAAAACTCTGATGCCTAAAAAAAAGTCAACAACTCACTGCATATTTAGAGATAATCCTCCACTACAAATCTCATAAGTACAGCATAGAATGTTAATAAAGCATGATAATGTGAAAAATGTATCTGTAATCTCTATCTACAATTCAGTCACTACAAGGTGACACCACAATGAGATCTTGCACCACCTCGAAATCTTCCTAGGGCAGCCTCTGGTTCGGCCTGTGGAAAAAGTTCTCTTTCCAATTCAGCCCCAGAGCAAAAACTGTTGGCCACCCATAATCTAGGGAGATATCTGTAGACTTGGCTACTTTGCACTGAGATTAGTGAAATTAGCACCATCAAACAGCAAACTGTGGAATTGTATTTTATGGCAAGAATATATTTTGAATACAAAAACTTACAAGTTTTTTGTAGAAAAATTCAACAAAATGTGTAAAGCTTCAAAAGTAACAGTAAAGTACAAAAAAATCAATAGTAAAAAGTAGAACAATAGAATTTATTAAGAAGGATTATAGAGTTATGTCTAATAAAAATATGTTATCAAGCAAGTGCTACCTCTAATAGAAAAAGAACAATTGCTATCAAGTCCAATCTCTATTTATAACTTATGAAGTAGTTATTTGCAAATTCTGTATAATATTTTCTTCACAATCATTATGTACATTAACTAAATGTAATTAAATATATGTAATTATTAATATATATGCATAAAATTTACCACTATCAGATCAATTGGAACTGGCATCTTTAGCTTGGTTCTGTATCTTGAATTAATTTTTTCCTTCACAACAGCCAAAATAGTTATAGCCACTGCTGATATAACAACAGTAGCTATATTACTGTGCTGGATATTTTGAAATATATCCCTAAATTTCTGTTTTAAAAAAGGAATAAATATTTTAAATTTTAATTTACTATTGATATAGTATAAAATATATAAAGAATTTCTCTATCAATAATATAAACTATAAAATTTAAATTATAATACCAAAACTAGTGATTATAATAATTAAATTATTAATAATAATTATAAATAACAAAAATTATCATCATTACATTTTGAATAATTTTAGTATATATCTATGTTTGTGTAGTTATTTTTGATATTTAATTCCTTACATAAATTAATTTAAATGGACCATTGTATTTTCCAATATTTATATCAAACAAATCTTTCATTTGAGAAGTTGCTACGTGAACTGCAGCTCCAGTTGAAAAACCAGATACTAAATTATCAGAGAGAAGTACAGTCAATGTTCCAAGGTGCAAAATTCCCATTAATAACTAAAAAATAAAATTTTTAAAATTATTCTTATTTTTTCAAAAAATATCAAAGAATTAAATAGAAGAATTTCTGAATTATTACTATTATTTGTCGAATCAAACACTTATTCTTTCATATAAAACTTTTATGAATAAATATTATAAATATTAGAACTTGATATTATGAAGAATGTAAATATATAAATCATCTGCCAACTGATTCATTAATGAGAAACAGGATGCGTAATAATATACTTTAAAGAAGACATTGTAATTCTATTACAACATAAAAATATTTATCTATACCAGGGCTTCTTAAACTATGGGTCGCTTAGCGAAATCTTGTGGTCGCAAGATTTTAATGCAAAATATTGAAAATAATTTGTGAGAGTTTGAAAATGGCACGCTTTGTGTTATAGGTTTCGTGAGTTGCGCTTTGTGTCACTTCTGGTGCAGCGAGACAACGATTCAGCAACACTGATTGTAGTGTGGACTAGTGTAGTATTGTCGCTTTTCAGTGTATTCAGTTGTCTCTGTTCCATTGTAACACAAGAGTGAACTGTGGTAGTATACCATTATTGTTTTTGAAATTTGTATACTGTAGGCTATATCTTTATTTTATATATATATATATTTTTTTGGGGGGTCGCAAAAAAGTCACAATCATAAATGGGGTCATGAATAAAAAAGTTTAAGAAGCCCTGATCTATACCAACAAATAAATAATGTTAATAATACCTGCATTCCTCCAGTAACAAGACTAACTGTGGTTAAAACTTCAATATTTGTAGGAAAATCATTATGAATTGTCTGTATAGTCTGTGAACTTATTACAGTATCATTACGTAAAAGTGCATTGCTCTCCTTAACAGTTTCCAATTTCTCTATAGTACTACTCAACATCATGCTTACAACAGCAAATGTACCTAAAAATTTTTTAAAATTTATACAATTGCATCACAACTCTTAATAATTGCCATAACTGTGATAATTTATAAATAAACTAATGCAATTAGCTACTTATTACATTCAAAATAATTAATTAAATTTTTAAAATTCCTTTTATTACTTTTACCTAAAATAATTATTTTTCTTAAATGATTTATGAAAAGCATTTTAATTAATTTATATTGTTCTAGCTAATAAGATAATAGAGCTAATTTATGCATTAATTGAAATTTAGTATGCTTTCCTCTTCAAAAACATTATACTAGAAAGCTATAAAATAAATTATTTAAAAGAAAATATAAATTTTTAAATTTGTTACAATAAATTAATTAAAAAACATAGATGAAAGGAGTATTGACACTATTTTCTAAGGATCTATATTATTATATCTTCATGATGTTATAAGACTCAAACACAACAAATATAAATTCTAATGAATATTGTAATTAATTTAAGAAAGTAAGGAAAAAAAAATATAGAAACTAAAAAATATTTCAGAACATTAACAAAATAATTGAAGAGGTGAGTGGAAAGTAACATAATTGACAAAACAGTTTTCTTTATTGATTTTATCACTAACATATTCAGATTATAATATTTCTCTCTTGTATCACTTTTCCACTGAACCACTCAATTATTATGGTATTGATATGTAAATGAAATTAAACTAAATATAGTGAATATTACAAAAATCTAATTTTTTTTTAAAAATAGACAATAACTTTTATAAATAGATTTTAATCTAATGATTTTCACATTATTAATTCTACAATTTATAATTAAAATAATAAAAAATGTTTCAAAAACCATTTTATAAATAAATTAAATTAGTTTCATTTTTTAATTTAATATTAAATAAATAAAGATAATATATAAATTATATAAGAATCTATACATCTAGAAAGAGAACACATTTCCTAATTCAAATGAAATCTATTATGAAATGAATAGTTCTTCAGAAATATATAACAAAAATAAGTAAATACACAAGGTACATGATTCTAAAATTATAACTAATAGAAAACAAATTATAAAATCTCATGTTATTAAATATATTAGAATCATATCGTAACTATAATAATTATTTTCCAAAATCTTAACATAAATTATGAATATAAGTTGTATGTGTTTATTTAAATCAATGATTTATTAAAGTAAGTAACAATTAAAATTTCAAAAAATAAAAACCTAAAAACTCACATTAATAAACTTACCAACAGATATATGGCGAGAGGTACCCATAAGAAAATATATAAGCACTGGAAAAAATGACACATAGAGACCATTTATTGCATCTACAGAAGCAAGTAATCCATATGCCATACCTAAAGATTAGAAAACTATATTAAATAATAGTTTTACAATCAGCTTATAATAGTCAAAATACATAAATCTATTAACACACAGAAATAACAAGAAAACAAAATACAGTAATATCCCGAACTTATGCGATAGGTGGGACTGAGCGATAACCGCGTAAGTCGAATTCGTGTAAAATCCAAGTCAGATGTATGTAAGCTAATAAATGTTCTCGTTAATCTCATCTTGTCTTTTGATTTGTTCACGGTTACAAGAAATCACCACATAGAGTCTCTCAAGTCTCCGTAGATATAACAAACAGAAATAAATAACACAAAATAAATTGTAGCAATGTGTCGATTCCGCACTACATGTTCGAACATGTAAGCTGAACAATAGTGTGGGGGGAGTGAGTAATCAAAAGTTGTATGGCGCTCAAACAAAAGACGAATCGACGAGATTTGAAAATTGCGTAACTCCAGGTTTGCATAAGTCGGGGTAGTGTAAGTCGAGGTATTACTGTATAAAGAAAATAATTTAAAAGAAATAAGCTTTCATTAAAAATCAATCATTACTTTATTTAATAAGTATCTATTATCCTCAGAAAAAAATCTTAAATACAACAATAAAAACAAGAAATCAGTATACTTAAAACTTTTATTATATTAAATTGGTAAAATGTATCCCTGTATTACCCACTCTGCATGTCTCCATTATGTTTGGTGGAGAGCTTAGTGATATGTGCTGCAATATCTTGGTGGGGTTCTCCCATCTGAAAGCCATGGCTAAATTCAACTAAGAAGAACACTATTGCCAAGGTGGGAGGCATCATGCTGAGGGCTGGGAGGCAGGGCTATGGAGTATGGAGTCAGAGTCAGGAGGAATTTCTGGCCACACGAGTCGGAATCAGGAAAAATGTGTTGACTCCAACTCTGACATTTTAAATTTAATTTAGTTTTTTTTTTAAATGAAAGAAAATTTATTTTATATTTAATAATTTTTAAAAATGTTTTTGTATTTTGTTATAATTCATTTATTTTAAATACAAAATGCAACAATTTAATCTATTAAATATGTATCAATAGTTTGTTTTCTTTGTAGTATTTGTGTTTAGTAGTTAAATTATTTTGACCCAATTAAATTTGAATATTTTTGATACATTCCTTTATTATTTCTGCTCTAAATAAGTACTCTATTTTTCTGAATGAGCCAGTCTAATTGATCAGAGTATATATTTTTCTATTCTGAACAAGGGGTTGAAGTAGCTAGATCTCACACTTTTTAGTTGGACAAACTTTTCTGGAAAGGTGAAATTAAAGTGCAAAAGTTGTAGAACAAAGATATATAGGTATAGAATTTTATTGCTCCCCTTTTTCCTCTTATTAAATATTTGTTAAAAATTAATTTTTTTATACAAATAAATATTAATATAAGTTAAATATTAAACATACAAACTATAGAAGTATTTGGGTAAATGCCCAGGGCTCCTTTTAGAGTAGAGTAGGGTAACCCCCTAAGAACGCCTCTGCCCCCATAAAATGAATTGGTATTTAATTTTGCCAAAGTCAGGGGTCGGAGTCGGCCTACTAAAATTATCAGGAGTCAGAGTCGAGTGTATTTTTACTGACTCCGCAGCCCTGCTGGGAGGTACCAGCAGTATATCAAGTGCCACAAACAATCCTCTTAAAGCGGTGACACTTTATTATATTCAGCCTTGTATATTCATTGGGAATCTGCAGATGCCAACCTTATATTTCCTCTATGTTACAACCCACACATTCAATGGTTTTTCATTCTTAAAATGTGTGTGAGAGGTGTTTGTTGGAGGTTTTCCAACAAGACAGCTGGATTTCCAATAGTAGTAATAGGCCTGTTGTTGGCATGTTTAAGGTTGGCAATTTCATGGCTTACAGTTAGTAGTAAGCCCATTGTTGTTGGATATAGTGTTGAAGATTTATCCACAGCAATCCTCAACACTGTAGGGTGACTTCTGCAGTGCTGAGTCACCCAGGTAATGATAAAGATCTTGACATAGCTTTGATACAGGAGCTCTGGATCTTCAGAGGTCAAGTTAAGAACTTGTCCAATACACCAACCATACAAATCCCAATTATGGGTAACTGTATTCAAATGATTTAATTCATAAATTTGTATTCTCATGTGTACCACAACCATATGCATCTTACTAAATTGCTTTTTAAGGGTTTTTGGAAAATATAATGTCAATTACTATGTTACACTTCTATAATTTTTCCAAAAACATCTTAATTTAATTTCAATTTGTTCTATATTACAACATTAAAAATTATTTGTTGTGAATTGATCAATACTAAGTCTAAGAGAGATATTTTTTTGCATTTATACCAGAACTGTAACTTAAAAAATCCTAAAACTGCTTAACAGTATTTTTTAATTATTTAAGATTTATTTAATAAAGTGTTTACATAGTTTATAAATTCAAATTATTATTATTTTTCCATTTTTTAAAAATTTTTGTAGCATTGAAAAATCAACTTGAATTATAAAATTACTATATTAATTGATTTTTGTTGAATTTGACATACTAACCATTACAGCAATAAATATAAAGTGTTTATCTGTTTATTATTATGTTACAGAAAATAATTAAAAGATTAAAATTAATGAATTTTATTTTTTATTTAAATTTTAAAAAAGACATAATACCTTGAGGAATATGTAGAATTGCTACCGTAAAGCCTGCAATAATATCATTAATTAAATACTCTCTGCAATTATATCTTGGTAACCAGGAAAGAACGGGAAACATTCTTAAAAATATTGATAAAACACAAGATGTTGAACATGTGCAATATGCTGATATCTTCTTAATACACTATAAAATGAAAAATATTACTAAAAAGTATTAATAAATATTTTTTAAAGAATAATTAAAATATAATTGAAATGAAACTTTTTCTGACAGAAACTGTTTAAATTATCAAATTATCACTGTTCAACTATAAACTATAAACTTTTTTCAAAACAAATATAGTTATTCTTTATATATATGTTACCACTAAAGCTCGAAAGTCGTTAATGTGTACATTACCTAGCTAATCTGCAGATTAACTAGGTTGATCCGTTAAAGTTGTGAAAATTGTTCCATTTCTCAAATTACCTAGATAATGTGCAGAGTATCTAGGTAATCTGCACATTACCTACTAGGCACTTGGTAAAGTGAAAATAAGATCTTTGCCACAAATAAATGTACCACAAATAGGTGTGCTTGTTGCAAAAACCAATTGCTATGAAATTCAAAGTGTCACCAATCTTTAGACTGCACTAGTAAGTAAGCACAATTGGATAATGTTACCTATGGTGAGTAAAATGGCGGCTCGTCTCCGATTCCAGCAAAGAGAAGAAAGGAAACAGTGGGGATGCACGTTCAAACCTAACCTAACCTATTCTAATAATTTGGTTGGTAATAATTATGGTAATTTATTAGACTAGGTTAGGTTAGGTTAGAACAGTGTTTCTCAACCTCTAACGAATTGTCACCCCCTTCAATGTAGTATCGGCCCCTTTAATAAAACCATTACGTAGTATTGCCCCCTTCACTTCAAAATTCTGATGCTGATGCTAACGCCAAATTCGTACTGCATTGAAAAGACTAGTGACTAGTATAATCAGTGGTGATATTCGAAATATTTAACAAAGGGTTCGCTAACAGAAAATTTTTCCTTAACAATTTTTTTTTGCTTAAATGGTGCATTAGCAACATTAGCGCAAAAACTGGCCTTGAGATACCCATATAAATAAAAAAGATGCATTCGCAAAATTACATCAGTTTAAAATTTAACATTGTTTATGCCAGAACTATATTTTTTTTATAAATAATAAAAAAAGTGTTCAAAATGGTTTATTTTGTACATATTTTAATATTTTTCATTCAAAATATTTTATAAACATAAAAATTGGCTTTTTCTAAACAGAAAAAGTCATAGGGAAAGCAGTTAAACAAGAAAAACTTTTCTAAATCATTTATTTTATCGTTAGGTATTATTATAATAATAGACAGATGTCATCGTCTCTCGAAATACAATATCTTTCTTATTTCGCTGTTGATAGCCCGACACGTGCTCCGCAGCCATCTTGTATTTTCTCGCGCGCGTGGGATTGTGGGATCTCTCTTATGACTGGATCTAGTTTCGAGAACTCTCTCGAGTCGATCGCGATTGAACCTCGTTTTAGTCGAGATTGAAACGGTCGATGGAGGTTGCACTAGGCGAACAGGGTATAAGGCTCTAGTTTAGTAGTGTTACAGAGTATAATACGTATATTTTAATATATTTTTTAAAAGAAACAAAACCACTGAGAAATGTTACGTGTGTTTAACAACGGGTTCGGAAAACTTTGAAAATGTTAACAATGGGTTCGGCCGAACCTGTGCGAACCCGCTGAATATCACCACTGAGTATAATGTTATTTGTTTAATTATTGTACGATATAACGAATAAAATATCTAATTATTCTTAATATAATGTTTTACTATATTGCCTAGAAAATTGTTTTTCGTCCCCAAAATATAAATTGTTACTAATCGCCCCCTCAACATGGAAAAAATGCCCACATAGGGGTGATATCGCCCCCATTGAGAAACACTGGGTTAGAACATATGTCCCCACTGTTTCCTTTCTTCTGTTTGCTGGAATCAGAGACGAGCGGCCATTTTACTCACCATAGGTAACATTAACTGCACAATTATATCATGCGATCACCAGAAAAAGTATGATAACTTTATTATTTTTCGTCTCCGGTCCAAAAGTTGGGTATCGTTGAAGTCGTCTCGGTCTCCTCAGTTCAGATAGATACTGAAAGTCCCGAAATTCCATAGTTGGTTATCTATATAATAATTTCCCTAATTGTATTAATATTTTAAACCGTTTGATTTTTTGTATGTTTTTTAATTGGTTGATGATTGATTCTATCAACTAATTTGTTGATTGTTTGATTGTATTAACTTGATTCTTTAGATATCGAAAATTAAATAAAGAACAATATGTTAATTTAAGCATACAGAAACATTGCTGTTATTCCAGCAAAGATCTTATTTTCACTTTACCGAGTGCCTAGTAGGTAATTTGCAGATTACCTAGATAATCTGCACATTACCTAGGTAATTTGAGAAATAGAACAATTTTAGCAACTTTAACTGATCACCCTAGTTAATCTGCAGATTAGCTAGGTAATGTACACATTAATGACTTTCGAGCTTTAGCGGTAACATATATATATATTTTAGAGTGCTGAATTCAAAAATGACATTAATTTCTTTAATATGTTCTTGTTTCTTGTTTTCATGTTACATAAGAAAACATAACTGAAATAGCCCTAAATCAAATGTTTCCCAAGTGGCTTGGCAAATGCTATTCTTATGACATGATCCATGAATATCACTACATACAATGCATCTTGAAGAAGTCGAGAAAATGTTTTTGCATGTTTGTGTTCAGTTTCTCTGCAATTGCTTTCTGAATTGCATTAAAAATGCTGTTTACATGTATTGACAATCTGCATAACTTTTGTTATGTATGTGAGAAGTGATTTTTGGTTCAAGAAAATAATCATTGTCTCTAGCAGTGAAAAGGGCATATTTCCTGTACTCTGCTTCTCAGGTAGTGGACCAGGACAAGCCTTGGTCATGTGTGTTGAACTACATGTTTTTCAACTCTAAATGCATGGATGAATGAAATGAAAATTCATCTTTTGTTGTGCCTATCATTTAGAATAAACAGACATATTTATTCAACATACACAGGGAACCCAAAAATAACAGGAATAATTTTGTGGAGTGCAGGAGGTTCATAG